CGCACAATCCTTTACTATCCAATCATATTATTTAGTATAATATACGATTAGATCAAGTAGCAATTATATCATATTGTACAAGTAGGTTAAACATATCAAAAACAACACACACAATATTTAACCATTTAGAATACTCGTATATATGTGTAAGTTGAAAGTAACTATGCACACACCTGATAAAAGTAGGTGACTCAAACTTAGGGCATCGTTTCACCTTCACGCTTTTCAAAGAGCTAACTGTATAATACTAAGTCTTAGCCAAGTTTCATAACCCTAGCAACTATTTAAATAATAGTCTAGATTCCTCACTAATCCTAGTGCATACATCAAGATCCATCAAGTAAGGAACAACCAGGTATGATCATATCGGAGGTGGGGTTTGTTTGGTATACAAAGTATACTGTTTGGAAAGCTCACTTTAAACACCTCACTAAATACAGCCTAGACCTCATCCCTGTAAGTAGATCAATCAGTATAATGATTTGGAATTACTGATAAATCTTAATTATAGGTTCATAATAATGACTATGACTATAATTAAAAGTTACACTTGAATCAAATAATGTAGCTTAACTTACAGACCATTCTGATGAATATTGGGAATTATATGAGCAGAACTCTAATCTGGGAGCTTCTAACTGCCATCACTCTGGCACCGCAGGGCCTCGCGAAAGTAACCGGAAACTCGGAGGGTAAAAGAGACTAAATGTACGAGAGATTTCTAGAAAGATCTTGGAGGATTGAGTGAGAAATGACTTGCATTCGTGAGCATTATGTTGGCTAGACAAGGTATTGTGTGTCGTGCACCCTGTCTTGGTGCGCCGCACAAGTGGTCAGCAGGGTGACATGGCGAAATTTGGGTGGTGACATGTGGCATCCTTTTAGGTGGAGTGTTAGTGCGCGCCGCGCATGCTGTTTGTGCGCGGCCGCACACAGAAATTTATGATTTCTTAGAAAATTCATTTTCTTCATACGAGCTTCGTTTTCGACCGGTGTTATATCCATGTGTAGCTATCGACGAGATCTACAACTTTCATTTAGACTTTGTTGGCAAGTTTTGACTTTATTTTTAAAGTTATATATTTAGCATGCTTAGACTGTTAAATTCTGTTAAAAATTCATAACGCTATCATATGATATTAGTTCTCGATTGTCTTTATATCGGTGGATAGGTAATGATGAGATTTTAAACACTCGTTTATATTGATTTTCCTAACAATCAACCAATCTTGACTTATGTTTTTGAGTCGTATACTATTACGCCAAAACTTTAAAAAAAATCCATAACTTCTTCTTACGAAGTCAAATTTAGGCGTTTCGCTATATATACGGAATCCTTGTCACATATACTATAATTTTTGTTAAAATTATTTATCCTAAATAATATTCTATCAAAAAGTCAATTTTAACGTTTATAATATTCAAATTGACTAACCCGAATCTACGGGTGTTACAGAAACCGACAAATTTTCCAAAAATAATGGGACATTTTTCTAAAGATTTCCTCAAAATTTGTATATAATATATAAACATATTTATATGTATTTTTCTATATTTTTTACGGATGTGTGTGTTTTTAAGTTTTTTATATAGTTTTTTATGTTTTTTTTTATGTATTTTAAATGTATAAACATATTTTTTATATATTTTTATAAATTTTTAAAAAAATTTACGTACTTTTAACTATTTTGGTATATTTTTCACGTCTTTATGTGATTTTTTAAAGTTTTTTATCTAGTTTTTTTACATATTTAGGTATTTCAAATAAATAAACGTATTGTTTTATGTATTTATATGTATTTTCAAAGTATTTTAGTATATCTTTTATCATATTTATGTATTCTTTTTACTTCAATTTTCATTGAAAGTTAACTATTAGACTTTGTAATTAAAGAAAAAAACACTAAAGTACTTCAAAACATATATTATTCATGACGTCCTTAGCAATCAATGTTAACTTTGCAGGTAAAATCTTTCATTTTTTCTTGAATTCAGTTTATAGATGAATAAAGTTTACGCGTATAGTTGTTGTTAATAAAGATATTCATAAACTTTGTTCATCTACAAACTGAATTTAAAAAAAAAAAAAAATTAACTGCAAAAAATAATGTTGATTGCTAGGGATCCTATTTGAATAATATATGTTTTGAAGTCCTGTAATGTTTTTTTTCCTTCATTTATAAGGTCGAATAGTGATCTTTCCAATGAAAATTAAAATAAAAAAATACATAAATCCGTAAAAAATTATAACAAAATACATAAAAATATTTAAAAGGATACATATAAATACTTAAAAATACATAAATATGTGAAGAATATACCAAAATACATGAAGCAGTGTTGTAAAAATCTCGACTAGGTCTCGATTAATCTCCGATTAGTCCTTAGACGCTACCCGACCAATTAGAAAAAAGAGAATGACACAAAATGTCCTATAAACTTTCTAGGGTTTACCCGTTGACGTCCTAAAGTTTTTTGTCGGTTTTATGGATCCCTAAACTAGGGTATGACCTGTTTTTTTAGTCTTTGTCAACCTGTAATAGTTAGTTCAATGACCTTTTAAACCAAAAAAACTCACATTGTGCCCCTATAAAGCCAAAAAAAGTAAGTTCGAGAATCAATACGAATTGAGAGTGTACCAGCTTTAGAAGAAAATGAGAGTTATTTTGTACGAATTAATCCCCGAACTTATTTTTTTGGTTTTATAGGGACACAATGTGAGTTTTTTTTTTTTTTTTTGTCTAAAAGGTCAGTGAACCGACTATTACAGGTTGACAGAGACTAAAAGAGCATATCATATCCTAGTTTAGGGAGTTATAAAGTCCGATAAAAACTTTAAAGACTCAACGGGTAAACCCTAAAAAGTTTGTAGGGCATTTAGTTCATTTTCCCATTAGAAAACGATTAGCAATTAATCTCTACTTACAACAATGACCGAAGCAGTAGCAAAAGATAAAATTTTAACATTTTGAAGATGTTATACATCTCAATAAAAACTATTTAAGAAATTGTTAGTGTTTTATTAATCACATTAACCTATTTTGTTGTAATATTACTGATATTTACGGATTTTATTATTATATTAGTCATACTTAATTTTTTAAAAACTAAAGAACTAATAATTTCGGATCTCTGATTAATCATCACCCTATTGATTAATCTCTTAAGTTGGATTTTCTGACCAACGTGAAATGTTTTTTACAGCCTTACATAAAAGTACGTAAAAATACTTAAAATTCATATAAGTACGTAAAAAAATATGTATACATTTAAATATATATAAAAAACATACAAAACTATATATAAGCTTTAAAAACACATAAATACATAAAACTATATATATATATATATATATATATATATATATAGAGAGAGAGAGAGAGAGAGAGAGAGAGAAACATCATAAATGGTCAATGTGGTTACCCAAAATTTGAAGTGTAGTCCCCGTGGTTTAAAAACCTCATAGATGGTCCCTGTGTTTTCGAAACTTTTGATGTTTGGTCCTTTTTGCTAACTCCGTTAAGTTTGTCCGTTAACTGAAGGGTATTTTCATCATTTCACAATCACATGGACCATTTATGATGTTTTCTCATATTTTTTTTTAAAAAAAGAAAAAAACTAAATATAATTATTTAATATATAATCTCTCTCTCTCTCTCTCTCATTTGAAAAGAAGTTAAACCATCTAGACCACCATTTCTTTACTCTAAAGCTTATGTATAACAAGAAAAAGAGAAGATCGGTGTCAAACAAGATCCATGTCTTGTTATTCACATGACTTTCGCCATGAACCGCCTCGCATAACCATACTTGCAATCGATCCCACCGTCGGAGCCATCGCCCTAAATTTAGACCTCAACCCACTATTATCGGAGCCACCACTGATCTGAAACACGGCCAAAACCCACTGAAAAACCCATGGATCTTCATTTCCTCTACCTATGTCGCCTCTCTCTTGTGTGTACTCCATCTCCCTTCGATTTCCCTCTACTCCATCGATTTCTCTCTACGTAGTTGTTTCTCTCTACCATCACCAGCTTCATCAATTTCATTTATGAATTCCTCTTCTAGCTCTTTATGAGTTGCGATAAACACTAAGCTTTGGCTGAAATCTGAACACCAACGATTGCCTCCTCCTTTCAGATACCTCTTATTGATGGAGGAAGATCCCAACCTGGTGAAATAAATTAAGCTTTAGAGTTTGTTGTTGGTTCTTGATGAAATTGATGGAGGCGGAACCAATTTCATGAGTTTTAGATGGGTGAACTTGTATTGAAGCTCGCAAATGCAGAGCTTTTAGAGGAATGCGACAATGGAGATGATACTTCCGATTTAGGTCAAATATTATAGGCAAAGCTTGAATCTAGGTTAAAATTTTAGATTTTGATTTGGGCTTACAGATTTAGGTCAAATTATGGTGATCTTGAAAGGGTTCGACATCTTCAGATGCTATTGAGGCTTATATCGGGTAGAATTGTGAGAGAGACACCAACAATGGCGGTGGTTGATGGTCTGAAAATTGTAGTGGTGATGGTGGTGCTTCACCACCGGTAGGTGAGTCTCTGACCGAACGAGAAAGAGTACAGATCTGGGGTTTTTTTCCCTTTGATTCTTCATCCCAAGAGAGAGAGAGAGAGAGATTATACATTAAATAATTATATTTAGATTTTTCTTTTTTTTTTAAAAAAAAATGAAAAGATCATAAATAGTCTCTGTGGTGTGAAATGACGAAAATGCCCTTCAGTTAACGGACAAAACTTAACGGAATTAGCAATAAGGACCAATCGTCAAAAATTTTGAAAGCACAGGGACAATCTATGACGTTTCTAAACAACGGGTACTATACTTTAGATTTTTTGGGAAACCACAGGGACCATTTATGATGTTTTTTCATATATATACACACACACATACGTATTTTGAGAAAATTTGTAGAAAAATCTAATTATTTAGAAAAAAAATACTATTTAGTTTCATGACCATACAAAAATACACATTCTGACATAATAAATATTTTGATTTAATAAACTTCTTGAACAATTACAAAATTTTGGATACAGGTTAAAAAAAATTCATTACATTTTTAGAAAAGAAAAAAAATATATATACTATTCTACGAGAATGTTACATTTATCAATAACAAAGAAATACAATATATAAATCATTCTACCATATTATACTATTACATATATTTTTTTTCATTATTTTGTATATTATTCTGCTGGAATAAATCATTCTTTTTGGAAGATTGGTGGTTATTGTTCATCCTCATCCCAAAGAATATTCATCTTCAAGATTTTATTCTATGAGAATCAGAATTCAAGAATTCAAGATTCCATTCAGTAAAATATTGTAAGATCTTCATGCCTATTAAACCTAGAAGAACCTCTACCTGCCACCTCATTCACATGACTCAGCCTCTGAGTAACTTCAGCCTATAAAAAAAATTAATGAGTAGAAAATCAATATTTATATTTTTTTATTTTTTATTTTTTATTTTTTAAATTATGCATTGCATACCATGCATTGGTCACAAACTCGAACTTGTTGAGCATTTCCCTCTGATGTGGGAGCAATTCTACCTTGAGTACACTTATCACAAAAAATATCACCACAATTTCTACAGTGATACTACAAAGAAAAAGAGAAAACAAAACAATAAATAAATAAATAATCTTCATTAAGATTTAAGAATTGAAATTAAACAAACAGACTAACCCTTCGCACAAAAGCTCCAAAATATGTTTAACAATTTGTGCATTTAGTAGATGCTTCATCTCGAACCTACATACAAAAAACAGATTCAATTCTAAATATTTTTATTTGACAATTGACACCATTAATAGAATTCCAATACAATTCAGATTTAAGAAGATTAAACTAACCCAATGATCTTTTTCTTTATTTCCATGCTTAATCAAGTTTTTCCAATCAGGGAAGACCTTCTTTTTTTCAGTTGGTTGTTCAGAGATTGTTACTTCTTCCATCTCCTTAAGCTGAATCATTAAAAGAAGAACCATGAATATGCAAGAAAAAAGTTTATGAATCATAGAGAATATGGAAGCATAGTAGTACTCCAGAACCTGAATGCTTGCAGCAGCTACCATGTCAATGATATTGGTTGTGGTATAACTGTTTGACTTTAGTCTAACACATCTTTCATCAACATCAATGGAAGTTTTGGTCCAGAAAACAAATACATTTGAATCCATCATCTATAAGGAAAGAAAGAATTTAGAGTCGTATTTCAAAGATTTTAAACTTTAACAAGAAATTAATTTGATGCAACATACTTACCTCCCATCTTGCTACAGATTCAAGGGAATAGAGTTTCAGTGTTCGGTTTGTTGCAGGATCAATGACTTCAGCACTATTGTACAAAGAATAAGGAAACAACGGTATATAGAGGAATGGAAAACAAAAAGCCCTAATTTTTAGATTAAAATTGCATGGTGGTTTTTCAATTGAAATGTCGATTTTTGCTTAGATAAGGGGAGCATCAGACAAACTCCTTAGATGCTAAAACAAAATAGCAGAAAATAATTGAACGACTAAAAGAAAGAAATGAAATCGAACCTTGGGTTTGATCAGGGAAGAAGAATAGATGAATAAAAGAAACACGAATGAAGTAGACAAACTCCTCCAATGGCTCATCTGTCGAGCGGAAGGAAGAGGAATTCAGAGGCGAATCGGATGGCTCTATGAGGGAATTCCATCGTGGAGAAGAGGGAGAAGGGGGGCGTCAAGGTCGTCGATTCTTCCTAGGCCTCATATTTTGTCATCGACAACCACCGATCGGGAATGACAGCAACGGTGGTTGATGATTCAGGGGGCATTTGGCTAATTTAGTCAACAAAAATAATGAAGAATAATGGAAACACAGCGACGAGAATGATCAAAAAAGCACCTCTAGTGCCTGGAATTTTTTTAAGAAGAAGGCAAAGGCAGTGGTGGTGATGGGTTGTTTCCTGCCGCCTCTTGACTGGTCTGGTAGCAAAACACGCAAGGGAAGGAACTCAAGATCAATTTTGTAGTCCATTCTAATTTTGCAGATCGGAACGAGATTTAAATTGGAGAGATTAGAAATTTCATGATTATAGGGATTTATTAAATTATCTTTATTTATTTATTTAATTTTGATTGACACACATAAAACAATATTTATTTTAAACAAACGAACCGATATATATATATATATATATATATATATATATATATATATATATATATATATATATATATATATATATATTCTAATTAGACCAACTTTTTGCTTATCACATGATTTTGTTTATGTTTGTTCTTAATGGATTTCAATATTTACTTGGATCTCCCGTCATTTGTTATTTCGTTAACTATTCAGCAAAAAGTTAATTTGTTTTACAAACGAATGAATGATGACCGTTCAACAAAAAGTTTATTTGTTTTATAAATGAATGAAGAAAATCCATTTCTTCGTAAATGTATAAAAATAATTAAATTTTTTTTTTGTTATGTTGTTCTTTTATGTTCGTTAAATTAATTTTTTTTTTTATTTTCATATATATTAGTTTATAACTGTGGGAACCACAGTTATAAAAATAATTAAATTTTTATAGTAAAAAATCAAAATTATTAATCAATTATTTTAAATAAATTACTAATTAAAAAACATTATATTAATTATTTAAAATTATAATCATTGATTCAAATAAATATATAAAAATAATTTATAATATAAATTAGACCTTTTTTTGTTAATTAATGAAAATAATAATATAAATTTTAAAATTTAAAATAGATAATAAGTATATTAAAAACAACATCATATTAATAAGAGATCTAATAGATTTAAAATTAAACAACAACACATTAATTAAAAGATTTAATATAATGACACATGAATAAATAGGATGAGATGATTTAATTATGTTTATTTATCTACATTTTGTTTTATATTTGTCTGTTTATTTTGTAAACTCATTCTTTATTCAATCGTATTTATTTATTTATTCGTAATTATCATTTACTGCCTAATAACGGATGCCCACGCCTACCAATCTTAGTTTTGAAAAGACAAAAGTGCACAAATGGTCCCTGTGGTTAGCCGAAAATTGTCACTTTGGTCCAAAAAGTTTTGGACTAGCACCAGAAGTCCAAAGTTTTCATTTTGTTGCGAATTTGGTCTAATTTGTTTTGAACTTTTTTATATTGACAATTTTGCCCTTGATATTCTATTTTTTCATTTTTTCTAATTATTTTAATGTTTTCTGAATAAAATAAAAATAAAAAATAAATACAAAATTCTATCTCTCTCTCTCTCTCTCTCTCTCTCTCCCCCTCTCTCCACAAATCCATCTTCCTCATTCAAACTTTCTGAAAATGAAAATACAATCACCGGTGACTTAGGCTTCCGGTGATTGAGTGTTCCGGCGACTGAGGGTTTCGGAGGCCACCACCGTGTATTACCTACCGTCTGGAGCACCACCATCTCTTCTTTCACCTCAACCCACTCTGAAGCTCCAGACCTGCGACATCTCTTCGGCACCGCCAACGATTCCGACTCCGACGACACCATCGACTTTGATTTCGGCGGAGCACCACCATTCTATTGTCATTATCGTCTGGTGGAACACATTCTCATTGAATCTGGAAAGACGATGGAGGCCTATTCAAACTCACCCCCATTGAGCACATACCGATGTCACCCATTTCTCTGCCTTCTTTTCTCTTCATCTCTATCCTTCTTCGACGACGATTCAAGCTATAAGATTGATAAACGCTAGCGACACTACTCCAATCGTCCGTTTAGGGTCTCTACTTCACTATATCGTTCGTCTCGGTTCAGATTTGATGGCGCTAGGGTTAGGGTTCCCAAACAGCGGTGGAAGCTATCAAATATGAGGGTTTTCCTGTTGAAGGTTGGTGGAGGCTTTCAGATTTGAGGAACGATGATGGTGGAGGCTTTCAGATTTGAGGAACGACGAAGCGCCGGAGATGTAGAGAAACGAAGGCGGCGGAGACTTAATATTTGATGAGGAAGATGGCGTTGGGCCTCCCTTCTTCAAGTTGCAGATAAGATTTTTCATGGTTTTAAGTTACCAGGTGGTGGAAAAATGGGTGTCATCGATGGTGGTGGTCCGGCTAAATGGGTGGTGGGAAAATGGGTTAGAACCCTTTTGTCGGAGTCGCCACAGAAATGGTAACAGTGGCGGTGGTTTCCGATTATACTTTTCAGATATGAGGTTTTCAAGGAGATGGTGGTGATGTTGACTTACAGTGGTCATATTGGCTAGATGTTTTGTCCTGTCGTAAATGGTAACAGTGGCGTTGGTTTCCGATTATACTTTTCAGATATGAGGTTTTCAAGGAGATGGTGGTGATGTAATGGTAACAGTGGCGGTGGTTTCCGATTATACTTTTCAGATATGAGGTTTTCAAGGAGATGGTGGTGATGTTGACTTACAGTGGTCATATTGGCTAGATGTTTTGTCCTGTCGTAAATGGTAACAGTGGCGTTGGTTTCCGATTATACTTTTCAGATATGAGGTTTTCAAGGAGATGGTGGTGATGTTGACTTACAGTGGTCATATTGGCTAGATGTTTTGTTACAGTGGCGGTGGTTTCCGATTATATTTATCTTTTCCAACGGTAGTGTTCAAACTTTCCGATGTTCTTGTTAGCTAGAGAGAGAGAGATTGCATATTTTATTTATTTATTTTCATTTCTTTATAAAAATTATAAAAATCAAGTAGAAAAGACAAATTTTATTTTCAGAAAAATATTTAGATAAATTTTTTTTGAAAGAGAAAAAAATAAAAAATAAAAAACTAATATTTAAATAAATTAAAAACTAAAAAATATAAAAGTAAGAGCAAAATTGTCATTATGAAAAAGTTTAAAGGAAATTGGACCAAACCCGCAACAAAATGAAAACTTTGGACCTCTGATGCTAGTCCGAAACTTTTTGGACCAAAATAGCAATTTTCGGCTACCCACACGGATCATTTGTGCAGTTTAGTCTTTTGAAAAAAATGAGACGATTCTCAAAATAAATACATTATCTCATTGGCTCATTATATGCATTTTAGTGGTTCTCTCTTTTATAAAGAGAAATGCAAATCACTACTAAACATCAAACATCAAACATCAATTATACACTTCACTGTAGCCCTTTACCAATGCAAATAATTCTTTTTTCTTTTCTTTAATCTCCTCATGAATCAACAACCAAAATCCAACAAAAGCAAGACCTCTACCCAAAAACAACTAAAATTTGTGTTACACAAACCTTCACACTCACTCCTTATTCAAACCAAAGGCCTTTCAACAAAAAAAGACCAATCAGTTTCTTCTCCCCACCAAACACCACCATTAAAATTCAACAAACAAAACTAAAACCATATTCTTCTCCTCTTCAAAATCCCCATAAAAAACCAACAGTTTTCAGTACCTGTAAGTAAGAGGCTTGTATGGACCTTCAACTGGAACATTGATGTAATCAGCTTGATCTTTGCTAAGAATCGTCAACTTAGCTCCAAGCTTTGCAAGATGAAGTGCAGCAACCTTCTCATCAAGATGCTTAGGTAGAACATAGACCTCCTTCTTGTACTTTCCGGTGGTTCTCTCCTTCCACAACTCAAGCTGAGCGATAACTTGGTTGGTGAAAGAGCATGACATCACGAAACTAGGGTGGCCGGTGGCGCAACCCAAGTTCATGAGACGACCTTCAGCCAAGATGATGATTCCGGTCTTGGTTTCAGGGAAGACCCACCTGTCAGTTTGTGGTTTGATGGTGATGCGCTTCACACCTGGGTAGGTTTCAAGTCCGAGCATGTCGATTTCATTGTCGAAATGGCCGATGTTGCAGACGATGGCGTTGTTCTTCATCTTCCTCATGTCGGAGACCATGATGATGTCTTTGTTTCCGGTGGTGGTGACGAAGATGTCGGCGTCGGAGACGACGTCTTCCAAGGGGAGGACTTGGAGACCTTCCATGGTGGCTTGGAGGGCGCAGATTGGGTCGATTTCTGTCACGATGACACGTGCTCCGGCTTGCTTCATTGCGGCGGCGCAACCCTTTCCGACGTCTCCGTATCCGCAGACGACTGCGACCTTTCCGGCGATCATGACGTCGGTGGCTCTCATCAAACCGTCGGGGAGTGAGTGACGGCATCCGTACAAGTTGTCGAACTGCGAACAGGTTTCAGGTTAGCATTGAATTCGGATCCATAAAAGTGCTAATGATTCATTCATAAGTGAACAATCGTTATCAGATCCGAATCACAATCACAGCATTATAACAGATCTAAAAACCTAAAACCCTATTAGTTTAGATCTAGGGGATGATCCACAAGCATTAGAACAAATAAGACGAGATCTATAGATGAATTACGATGAACATACCTTGCTCTTGGTGACAGAGTCATTGACATTAATGGCAGGGAAAAGCAGAGTACCATTGGCTTGCATCTGGTACAACCTCTTAACACCAGTGGTGGTTTCCTCAGACACACCAACCAACCTATCCTTCATCTTGTGGTACTTCTTGGGGTCGACTGCTAGACCTTCCTTAATGATCGACAACACGATCTGGAACTCAGCGTTGTCGGTGGAAGTCGGATCGGGCAATTTGCCGGTCTTCTCAAACTCCTCCTCAGCCTTGACTCCCTCGTGAATCAATAGAGTAGCGTCACCACCATCGTCAACGATCAAATCGGGACCACCGCCGGGACCCCAATCTAGAGCACGCTCCGTGCACCACCAGTACTCCTGTAGAGTTTCCCCCTTCCAGGCGAACACGGCGGCGGAATCACGGGCGATGGCGGAGGCGGCATGGTCTTGAGTTGAGAAAATGTTGCAGGAGCACCATCTAACCTCAGCACCCAAAGCGGTGAGAGTTTCGATGAGGACACCGGTCTGGATTGTCATGTGGAGGGAGCCGGTGATTCTGGCACCCTTGAAAGGCTGAGAAGGACCGAATTCCGTCCTGCAAGACATGAGACCGGGCATTTCAACTTCGGCTAATTCGAGTTCCAGGCGGCCGAAGTCGGCCAAGGACATGTCCTTGACTTTGTACTCACGGCCGGTGGAGGTTTTCTCGACTGTGAGAGCCATGGTGAATGAGGGTTTGTAGATCGGATCTTGGAGGCTCTCAGAGAAAGGATGGGTAAGGCAAGAAGCAGAGTTGGGGAATGGAGGGTTATAAATAGGGTTTAAGTGACAGAGATTAACGGTCCAGATCTCATCTGTGAGGATTTTTTTAGATTAACGGTCGTAAGATTGGGTCCCACCTAGCTAAAAAAATTATATCTTCTCTAAGAAATCATTTCCTTCACGTTTATTTAGAACTAGATATTTCATTTCCTTGTAAATTATACATGAAGGTAAAATGTTAGGAGTGATTAAAATGTAGTTAAAAATAAGGTAAATTGTTACTATAGCCTAATAAAGTTATTTTGGTTTAAGACATAGTTTTTGGTTTTCTTTTACATTTCTAATGGTATAAATTATTATTTCTTGGGTTTTTAAAGTCATTTCTAGAAAGTGAAGGGTTATTCGGTGAGCCTCTTCGTAATTATTAGGTTGTATGTTACAAGTCATTAAAATATGTCATCTCCCCAGCCACGTCAGATGTCATCTAACACTTGAATAATTGATCTACTTCACCCTTCATTTACAATCTAAATAAAATATTCTATTGTCGCTTTCATCTTCCCTATTCTTTTATTGTAACTCAACTAAAAATCGCTCAAATGGTTGTATACATGAAGATCGATCTTCATTTTGCTGGCTTTTTACGAATTACCTCATGATTAGTTACTTAGATGAACTTATAAGAGGTTTGAGGATGTCGATCTTGCTGGAATGGAGAAGAACGAATATGTGGTGTTCGTCGAAAGATTCGCAAATGATAAATGTGTGAATGTGTATTTTTGCATGTCCGATATTGAGTTTCCTAATGGGTTGGGATAATAGGTAATGAAAGAGACTATCAGGAGTTCATCAAAGTAGGGTATACTTGTGGTTGTGTAGTTCCTATACACATGGATCATCTTGGTGTCAATGTTTATCAATTGATTCTTGATGAAGAAGCTAAAGTATGCAGTCCTGAAGACAAGAGTCTACTTTAGGTGAAGTTAATGAAGAAGTACATTGTGAGGGAGTTGTTGAGATTAACATAGACGAATTGTAAGGTACTATTAAAGATGACAATGAACATGTTGATTGCATTCGTATGAACAATACCATACATGATGTGTTTTTTAGCCAGCTCTTCCCCAAGCTGCAACCAACCCATGACATTCCACGCCATGAGGATCCATATGTTCATATAGATGACAATGAAACAATACTTGAGGAAGTAACAAGTTTTAATGAGAATGTACATTGGAAAAGGCATAAACATGTGTTAGGTATGAGATTTGAAAGTCCTAAATAGTTAAAACATATGTTGTGTGATTATGTTGTTGCTAATGGTTATCAGTTGTGCTACAAAAAAAATCATAGTATGAGACTTTTAGTTAAATGATGTTTTGGGCGGTGCAAGATTAGACTATAGGCTTCATTGATGAGTGAAGAACATTCTTTACAGATTAACTCTCTTACAGATGAGCATAATTGTGCAAAAGCAAAAATCTAAATGGGATTAATTGTTAACTATGCATGGATTGGCACCCATTTCACAACACAATTCTTACAAAAACAAAAAATGAGTGTTATGCTAGTTAAGGAATAAGTTAATCATGCTTTTGGAATTGTTGTGAGTATGTGGAAGTATATGAGAGTTAAGAAACACACAATTCAGTTAATTTAAGGCAAACCACTTGAGCACTATGCAAAGCTTTGGTCATATGGTGAGGAGATAAGAAGAAAAAACCCAGGATCAACTTTCAAAATGGATGTCAATAGTATGCCAGATGGTAAGATATATGTTAGTAAGCTCTACATATGTTTTATGGGGTTGAAGCAAGGTCGGAGAGGCATTTGTAGGAGAGTAATAAACATGAATGGTTGTTTCTTAAAGGGTTTATGTAGTGGAGAGTTAATATGTGTCGTAGGAAAGGATGCTAATAATCATATTTTCCCAATTGCATGGGTAGTTGTTTTTGTAGAAAACAAAGAGAATTGGAAATGGTTTTTGGAGAATCTTAAAGATGACCTAGACATGGTAAATGGTTTTGGTGTTATCGTGATGTCAAATCAACATAAAATGTCACTTGGTATCCAACTTCATGTACATTAAAATGAAGTTTTTTTTAACAAATTGCATATGTTTTGTGGGGTTGTTTGAGGTTGTGAAAGAGATATTGCTTACTTGTTGAGCATAGACAATATACAAGGCATATTCTTTCCAACTTCAGGAAAAGATTCATCGGGTACACTATGAGAGGATGTTTTGGAAGACATGCATGTCATCCACTAAGCCTTTATTCAATGTAACCATGAAGGAAATCCAACTTCTTAATCATGAAGCATTTTCCTACATTATGAGAAAGAACCCAAAATCATGGTGTAGAACTTTCTTTCAAGAGGGCAGGATGTGTGATGCAATTGAAAATGGATTATCTGAGAGCTTTAACAATGTAATTAGAGATGCAAGGAAAAAACCAATAATCATAATGTTAGAAGAAATTAGGTTGTATATTATGGTGAGGCAATTCAATATGAGCATCAATGGTAGTTTATGGCCTGAATATAAAACCATGTCCAATTATTATAACCCTACTTAATGAGCTGAAAAGAGCTCAAATGTATGTTGTTTATGTTTTTATTTTAAATTAAGTGATATTACTAGATACTAACTTCAATACAATATCAATAAGGTTTTAGCAACCGGCTTAAACCAGTTTGAAACAAGAAACTTGGCAGAGTCATGTGTTATGAATCTAGATATGAAGACATGTTCTTGTAGAGTATAGCAACTAAATGGTTATGGATATGTGCATTCAGTTGCAATTATCTCCTTTCTAAATAGAGATGTTGGAAGTTATGTGGATCCAATGTACTATGTAGCATTTCACATGAACACTTACAAGTATACAATGTGTGGGATGAATGGTAGAAATATGTGGTCATCTACTGACCTTATACCAACTTTGCCACCATTAAAGAGAACAATGCAAGGTAGACCTAAAGTGAATAGAAGAAAGGATCCAACTGAAAGGGGTGCAAGACGTAGTGTGTTAAAGGTTGGGAAAAAATTTGGGTTGTGTATGCAAGCAAGTAGGATATAACAAGGTGACATGTTCTTAAGTTCAAAAGCTAACAAAAATCAAGGTAAATAAAAGGAAGAGAACATATGTAAAAGATGGGGAAGGAAGTAGTGGAACAAAATCAAGTTCAAATGCAATCACAAACAATAAAGGTAAGGATGGAATTATCAAGAAAATAAAGAAGTCTGAAATAATTATCAAGAAAAAACTAGCTACACAGGTTAATGGTAAGAATGAGGAAGGCAACACCATTGAAAAGCCAGTGGAACTTGAGTAGGAAATAACTTTGACTTTCTTTCATTATATACTTGTTATATTTTGATGAAATTGTAATGTTTCAAAATAAGTTTGGATGTTTGGTGTTATGTACTACATGTGGTTGCTAAACAAGCATTTGTAATGTCAATGGTTTGAATGCATATTTTATGTTAGTAATGGGCATGTATGGTATTAGGGTGCACTTTACCCATCAATTTAACTATATGTGCTCCCATTCTTCCAAGTTAAAGCATTTCTAAAAGCATATGTTTTCATATGTACCATTTCCATCTTCACTAACATAACTCTTGTTTTTTTATTAACTGTGTGTCACTGCCCTTGAGCGCCTCTCGAAGTTTAGACTTTTCGGTTTCAACCCTACAACAACGGTATCATAACTCACATGTGAGTTCACAACCCCATTTTCCAAACATTTTCAAGGGGAGGGGGATACATGTTAAAATGCAACTATTACATATTTATTACTAAATGTAGTTAGATAATTATGCTCATAACATTAGGATGATATTATGTATGGTAGATACTCTGCCCAACTTTTAAGGTTAATATTATGCCTAGTTGTTATACTGATTCATTATGATAGAAAAATATCATACCTAGTTGTTACTTTGGCAAGTTTCCAGGAAATGTCAATACACTAGCCATTATTATAATCACCCTTTGGATAAACTTAGTACATAGTGGTTACTCTGCTTAAATATTCAGCTATGCAAAACACATTAATTATATATATATATATATATATATATATATATATATATATATATATATATATATAAGTAACTCGTATAAATACAACAAGGAATAACAACACAGCCGACCAAGGGAGGCCCCCACACCAAGAGTTAGATGAGACACGATTGATCAACACGCTGAAAGATTTTTAGCTAGTCTCCGACCTATAATCATTAAATCTTAAGTGAGCAGGAGAGATATGTATAAATCTATATGGGATTCACATTCCAACCTATGGTTGCTACCTACTTGACGACAAGCCGAAGCAAACATAACTTTCTAAACACATTTGCGACGTTCGATGAAGCGTCGTCGTTTTTCGGGGAACTCAACAATCATAGCTTGATTATAAGAAATCATCGTAACCTTGTTAACCTAAAACTAACTATTTTATACTACTACTAGGAAACAACCTAAGAAAGTAGTGATAGTTCACACAAACTCGAGGAAGTAAGTTTAGGATACATACGATAGCTAAAATAACCACACAACATTTTATAAAAATGAAACATGTGGACTCACCAACATTATTTTGACCTTTCTAAAACCACATGTATTCTCAGATGAATGAACTCGGATGAAGAAGGAGGTAACCCCCGATGATGCAACTTGAAGTTTATGTGCTTTAATATTGTACTTTGCTTTTGCAACCTATCTGTACCTCGAACAGAAACAAAGTTGCTTAATATATCAATGTGTTATCCAATGTTTGTATGTGGCCTGAAATCCAACATTCTAACGTCGCACGGCCCGTTGTTTCTGTTGGATTAATGTCTAAGTCCATAACTATAATTGGTAAGACTTGACCCGACCCGGCATGGTCCATTTGGGTTGCATGGCATCATGCACTTGGATAGACTATAATGAGAGAAATAAGACACTTATGGT